GAGAGAGAGGAGTAGTAGAAAAAGAAATTGGTCGCTCCATTCCTACAGGTGTGATGTGAGAAAAAGCTAAAGGTTCAAACGAGCCACGCCTGGCTCAGGGCGTGGCTCATAAAATTTGTCAACAAAAATCAATTAATCACAATAACCGAATCAATGAATAAAACTAGAAAGAGCACAACTAATTAAGTTCCTAAAATTCAGCAGTTTAAGTATATTTCTTATTCCTAATCTGTAGTCTCGTACACAATGTCTGGCTTAAAGTCAGGCTTTACTGCATCAGCCAGTAACTTTGCATATATTTCAGTGCGCTGTGTCATCTGGAGAGAGACAGAAAGAGAAGACATGAGAAAATATGAATATTAATAATTGTAAGGTTTCCATATATTATATCAATATACAAAATGGACTAGCTATTTAAGATGTGTGGTTATGGCTGCATTTTTATTGCTCATAACGCAAAAATTAAGTTGGAATCAGCTCAAACTTTCTACATAGCATAAAGACATCAATGTGTATAAAAAATTGGGGGTAATTTTGAAGCCAACTTTTGGAGAAAAGCATGGGCTATAGTATAGTTTATTGTACTTTTCAGAAATTGGCATGTTTTCTTTAAATAGCCATAGCACAAATACTTTAGCCAGAAATTCAGAATCAGCTCAAAATTTCTACATAGCATTAGCTGTTACCTGAAAGCACCATTTATCTCTTATTTGTTGTATAAGATTTAAGTCAATCTCACAAATAAGTATACCATCACGGACCCTATTCAAACCCTACAAACAAACAAATCATTAATTAATATAACACAATGCTTACTGGTGTCCTGCCACCATTAGGACCTGCCACATAACTTGATCCATAGAAATGACCAAAATCTTTGTGAGCTAAAAGTAATAAAAGAATTTTATATTCATACAAAAATAAGACATTATGTCTGACCTGGTTTACCATCAGCTGAGGTAAATTCGTTGGGAAATGTCTCCTATAAAAATAATAAAATAATTTATTAATAATCTTGAATTCTTTTACCGTTCCAACCCTGTTATTACAAGCAACAAAATAAGAGTTAGCAATAGCTGCATTCCGTGCTTCAATAGGCCACATTGGCTCACTAGTACAATTAAAAAAACAACAAAAATATTATCATTCTCTTTATTTTTATCAACAATTACCTGAGGGCTCCAACAGTAGCTGATGGATTGAACACAATCTCCGCTCCATTAATGCCATAGGCTAGCCAATTTAATGGATGATGGCGTCCATAGCAGATGTTCACAGCAATCCTTCCATACGCAGTCTGGAACACTTTATGTCCGGTATTACCTTCCATATAATATGTGGACTAAAGTAACAACAACAAAAATAACATAACAACTATTATCTATAACAAGTAATAATGATGATAATGAATGATAGTTAGCACAGGGTTTCCCACAGGATTTTCATGCA